ATTGAAGGAACAAGTTAAAAAATGACAACAGAGGAAGAGACAAAGGATGTGCTGAACGTTAGGAGGACACCACAGAGTCTAGAAAGGAGTAAAAGGAGAACAAAGGCAGCACACACTAACTCGTATAAAAATAAAAAAATATTGGTGTGTGTGGTGAACAAAGCAACACAAAGCTCAGCCTGTGTCCTCTCTGCCAACTCTTCATCATCTCTCTCTTTTTCACTTCATTTTCATCCATTCTTTTCCCACTTCTCCTCCCAATGCACGTGTCTGTGCCGTTGCTTTTAATAGCATCTCCATGGAAGTGAAGAGGGGTTGCTAGGCAACTGGCTGGCATCTGAAACGGTGTTTGTTTGGCGGCAATGCTGACAAGACATCGTGTATGTGTGTGCGTGTAACATCTGCACACTCAGAGGTTGTGAGTAAAATATCACATCAGCCGTTTAGATTTGTTTAGATTGAACCTCGAGATTAACGTGACGTCGTCTTCCATGGTCATTTCTGGTGCGAGAGGAGAAAAACATCAGACTTGGTAAAGATATGACATCATAGGCCACAGTAGTGACACCCAGAGGAAGTCATTCATCACTGCAGACGCCTTTGTCTGATCATATGATCATCCATTATCTTTACCTGCTTCTTCCTTTTCAGGTCAGGGGGTCACTGGTGCCCATGTCCAGCAGTCACTGTGCGAGAGACGGGGGGCACCCTGGACAGGTCTCCAGTCCATCACAGGGACACATAAAGGCAAACGAGACAAACAACCATTCACTCTCACTCACACCTAGGGACAATTTAGAGTTACCAGTCAGACTAACATGCATGTTGTTGTTATGTGGGAGGAAACCGGAGTACCCGGAGAAAACTTGCACATGCACGGAGAGAACATGCAAACTCCATTTGATTCGATGGATTCGATCCAGCGACCGTCTTGCTGAAAGGAAACAGTTCAACCCACTCAACCATATATGAGACATGGTTGAGATTTACAAATGAAAAAAAAAAGTAAAAGTGAGCAGATATGAGAAGCCATCTTTAATTAAAGTTTGTTTTGTTTCTTTAACAAACACTTGGTGTGACATTAAGCATCCCGAGGGGGTCATGTTTCTAGTGGGGCTGCTTTTCTCTAATGAGCTGGAAGATCAGAAACATCTAAATGTTTCTTTAAAATGATGGTGAGATTTTGACTGGTGTCTGTTCTCGATAGCACACGTGCAGAAGTATCCTGATGCACGCTCAATAATCCAGGCAGATAAATGGAACAAGGTTGAGTCAGGCCCTCTGGACAGATTCTTCTGGGTTGAAGCGTTTCATCCAAAAGACTTCTTGTAGGAAGAAGTCCTGCAGATAAAAGAACCCGTCCAGAGAGCCTTACTCAACCTTGTTAGAATGTGTAGAATTGTTCTGTCATATTATTGCAATGCAGCAGAACGTTGGAACAATATGTTTCTGAAACAATTCAAATAAACTTCATTATGGTGTCTCTTCATTTGCTCGAGTCACAAAGAGCTTCTTCTACTTTTCCCTCGTCAGGTGTGTGATGTTGTTTTAGTTTCGGTCAGTAAATCTGTTTCAGTTTGGTTTTAGCTGGTAATTTAGTTTTAATAAAGCAAAATGAGCATTTTAATATCACCACCAGGATTATCTGGTGCTTCAATACGTCTACGAGAAGAAAAAGTAAAACTCGTGAAATTTTAGTACAATGAAACCTTCTGCTTATTAAGTTGTTTTAATATCTTAAAGCAATCTCAGATCATTAGAGTCAGGGTTATCTGAAATGTTATGAACAATTAGTGTCTTACTTGTTGTGGATAGCTTCGTGAACAACCTTAGTTTAATAATCAGACCAGATTATTGAGCTAATTGCTAATCTGAGTGAAGCGAGGATTAAACTGGACTCCTGTCATCTAAGAAAGACCAATCTAAAAAAAATGTCTTAACTGCTCGTGCAAACTGTTTTATAGTTGTTTTCATTTCATTCCTTTAAACCTTACAGGAATCCTGGGGGCTACACCAGAAGTGCTACAGCTAACTGCTGCTCCTTGTGTGAATGCACATGATCGTTGAGTTTTATGTAAATTAAACGTTCTTGATGAAATGCTCGTCACCCCTCGCTTTGCACGTCAACAATTTAAGCAACAGTCTTGCGGGATTTGTTAGTGCTGAGAGTACATGTTGGACATTACTCTCAGTTACCACCACACCAAAGTTTAGCTCAATATCCATAGAACTGACTGAGTTTGAGCAATTTTTGTGTTTGATAACTCACTTATTAGTGGCGGCCATCTTGAATCAGGTAGATCCCAAAAGTTATTCGGTCGTAGACGTGAATCCATTGATTACTTTCTGGGAGTTTCATTTAAACCCTTCCACCGAGTCATGAAATATTTTGCTAACAGACAAACAAATGTGAGCACACACATTCAAAGCGAGTTACATCATTACTTATTTTTTATGGCATTGGGCGATAATGAAAAAACAAGACCGTTAATTACATAAAAAAGTGTTAGAAACAAAATGAACCGCACTTTAAAAGGTCTAAAATATCACTTTGAACAAGACAAGTAAAGAAACGAGCTTATTTAAATTGCGTCGTTCCTGTTATAGTCCTTGAGTTAGTGCTCATCTTGTTTTACCGCAGTGCAAAATGAAAATTAACTGCATGACAAACGAGATGTACACACACTGAAACGTCTTTGTTTTTGTTTTTATTCACCTCTCATTCGTCACTTTTCACACCGAGTTTTCTCACCGAAGCCAGAAACGGTACACGTTGATACAGAAGACCACGTGGATGATCCAGTTCCCCTGGTTTTCCTCGACTTGTCTTATTTTAACAAATATATACAGATATCTCCTCGGGAAGAGCATTGAAATAATAATTTATTCTTTCCCACAAAAACAATAATAAATTCTCAGTGTTCTCAACAGGGAAAATGACGCTGAGCTCAATCTTTTCAACCACATTCGAATAAACACACTCGCACAGAAATCCCATGACGCACACACAAACAAACACACCTCAAGAAACTGTAATAAATATCACCTGCAGTCGTTGAACTGTCCGGTGTGAGGAACCTGCTGCAGCTGATTTGTCCGTGGAGTCTTCGATTCCACAGGAAGACCAACGAGCTGCACGGCGTTCCTCTTAAAGTGCCGCTGGGAGATGAACGTGACATGGACGCTGAAATCAGCTCGCCCGTCTCTAATTCTGCATCCGTTTCACCGGCAAGAGCAAGATCCACGCTGCTGACCTCTAACCAGGAATGTTTTGAAAACCAGGGGACACCGATGAACGAACGTTCACACCAAGAGGGACACGTCTGGGCGTTCACACCAACAAAAACAGCTAAAAAGGCTGCACAGACTGAGAAAATAAACTCTGATTTGAAGTGTAAAACGCTGTGAGTGTAACCAGCACGGAGTAGGGGAAAAGGCTTTTTTCTTGTTTTGGGTTTGGAAAGAAGCAAAAGACGACATGAAAAATATTTGCGCTCCAGCAGGGCAAACAAAAGAACAAGGAGAACCTTTTTAAAAAATAAAAGTCCTCTTATTTTTGTTGTTGAAAAGCCACTTGAGCTCCAAATACTTTGAAAGAAATAGTTCAGATCTTCTAAAGTTGGGTACTGTGAAAATATTGTCAACAATAATATCTCACCAGCTCCTTAACAACCTCAGGTTGGAGAATGGAGTTGAACTTTGGCTGGATGAACGAGCTAACGGCTTGTCCGAACATTTAAAATCACATTTACTTTAGCATTATGTGGTTATTTTTTAGGGATGCACAATATTGGATTTTTGGCCGATATCTGATACGCCGATATGTTAAAACTTATTTGGCCAATAACCGATACCAATACCGATATATTTTCCTAGAACTACTTACAGAGACTACACAGCTTTCTCTGCTGTGGAATTAAACTACTACATTATTCTGCAGGGTCTTTGTCAATTTGAACTACTATCAAATGCAGATGCCAAAATGGGAGCTGAAAATGATGTAACACTTCAACTTGGATAAAGTTTAATGTCAAATTTTGCCACTGGGTTGTCATACAAAAACAGTGCCTTATACACACACACACATATATATGTATAGATGTGGGGCAGTGACTTAAATAACCCTATCCGTGTAAAATGGCACCTCACTACTTCCGAAAGCTCTGCGTTGTGCATTAAGGGTTGTTGTCGGAGTGCAGGGTGAGGCAGGAGTCAGACACACGGTGGTTTGGATCGTGGTTGAGACCATGAAGTTTATTCGATGCACTTGCCAGCGGCTTCACCTTACAAACCATAAGCAAACATTGATTGAAATCCTGCCTGCTCACGGTAGCAGAAGCCAAAGTACGGTGTCCATTGAAGGACAAATTACACCATCTGCCTGAACCCACAGAACAAATATGACACCTTGGCAGCCTCTGCTGACATATTTAAGCCACTGCCCTACATCTATATATATATTTGATGGAATGGCCGATATTTAACTTTAATGCAAATATCGGCCAATACTGATACCATGCCAATAATATCGTGCATCCCTATTAGTTTTTATAAAATTATGTGCTTATTTCAAAAAGCTAATCACAGTAGCTGCTAGTTGTCGTACTATCATTGCAGCCTGGGTTACTTCCTGCAGAAATATCACATTTTTGCTGCCATTACAATCACAGAATGCAAAATTGATGGTTAAGTGAGAGTTTAGAAAATAGCATTTGCACAAACAGCTATGAAATGTATGAGACTGGAGTTGTTTTAGAACAGCAGCAACCAAATTCAGTCTTACACTCACTCAGATTAGCTGTTAGCTTGTCAATCCAGTCAGAAATTAACTCAGTTTCTCCAAACTGAGGTGGGCCAAAAAGCTATCTACGACAGGTAAGACACTAACTGTTCATAACCCTTTTTTACAGATCTTCAAAAGATCTGAACGACTGAAGTTTCTGACAAGATGAAAGCAGAAAAGCGCAAATCTGCAAAGACAGGATAAAGCAGAAGGGTGGAGACAACAGCTAGCAAAGTCTAGTTTAGGTGTTTTTAATGGCTTTTTAAATACATGCCACCCATCGTGAGCAGCAGGGGGAGAGAGCCTCTACAGAGGTGAAGACTGAAGGTGGGTGAGCTCACGTCAAGGCTTTCAAAAGGCCTCTTTGACTCTCAGCGTCATGCAGATAGATAACCAGGACTGCCGTACGGGGTTTTGGGTTTAGGCCTAGCCTACAACGTGACGAGGAGGGGATGTTTTAGCGATTTTTCCTTGAGTGCACTTTTCTCGGCTCAGACATCAGGAGGTTTTCATGCCCTGGAACGAGCCAGAATCCATAAAACTTTTGTTTAAATGTTTTTCACAATAAAAAGTGTTCTCCACACAGAGGGACCGTGTGGTCCAAATTCTGGCCCTCTACATCCATGTCCATGAGGTTGGGCCGCACTGCGCTGGAGCTGCTGTCCCCAGAACCGAGGGGGCTGTCGCAGCTGCTGCCCGGCGAGGAGCTCAGGGTCTGGGACAGAGAACCCAGCTTCCAGGGTCTTACCCGGACCGGCGTGGGCCGCGGACGGGGTGCGAACTCCAGAGTCTTGGGTCGCTCCGGGGGGCTAATGAGGCAATTAGGATCCGGGTCAGGTATCGGGGGGGCGGGAGCTTTACGGCGATGGGGGACTGATGGTGGGTAGATGGTGGAGGGGTTCGGGAGGCGAGGTACGTCCAGGGTATCGGACGTTCCTGAAAAACGACAGAGAGAGAGAGAGGGGTCATCGTTAAAGAAAAACATTTTTTTAGGATTCGTGAACGTTTAAATTGTGTTTTTACTGTTTCTCTGTCTAATGCAGAAGTCCCTCGCTACTTCATGGTTCGACTTTCGTGAACGCGCTCTTTCGTGTTTTTTCAACTATTGTCAACTTTAAAATCACTCACGTGATTGGGACGGTACAGAAAAAAGTTATTGAAAAAGAAAAAAAAAACTTTGGACAGGCACCGCCATCGTAGTTTTCTTTCAATAAGCCTGTACCAGGACTATTCAACTTGTCAGGGAAGGTCTTGCACATTTCAGCAAGACGATGCTAAACCTCCTACTGTCTCCATGACAACAGCACAGTCCAGATGCTGAACCAGTAGACCAATAGAAAACATCTGGTACGTCATGAAACTTAAAACCAGCAAAGAAGACTCAGGCCTGTTGAACCAGAATCCTACATCAGAGCAGGACGGGACAACGTTTCCCTACGGCAGCTGCGCTCCTCCGACGGTCATTAAAGGAGGAGGAGACGCTTCACGGAGAGAAACATGGCTCCGCCTTAACGTTTCTGAGATGAGCTATTACATTTCAAACTAATTAAACACATTTCCTCCAAATGATGAAACAACTTCTTAGTTTAAAAATGGGATTTGTTTGCTGTGTTCCATTATAAATAAAGTATAAGATTTGCAAATAACTTCATTCTAGTTTTCATTTTACACAACAACACAACGTTTTCAGATTTAGGCTTTAGCAGGCATTGATCTCCGAACCTTTGCTTGCCGTGATGTGGGGTCCTCCCGGTGGGGGAGGCATGGGCATGCTCCCGTCTGATGGAGTCCTGCGGTGTCCCAGGGTCTGAGCTCGAGGTCGTATGGCCCCGTCCGAAGGGGTGCGTCTGTGTCCTCGGTTCAGAGCCATGGTCGCAGACACGTGGGTGGGTGTCAGCGACTGGTTGGGCTCCTTCTTGAAGCTCTCGGCCCGCAGGTCCAGGAGCGGGTTAAGAGCAGGAGCTGCAGGAGCCGGAGGAGCCGCCAGCGTTTTGACCCCGCTCATCGGGGTCGGGGGGAACTCGTCCGAGTCTGAGGGGATCAGGGACTTGGTGGAGTTGCAGTCAGACAAAGAGGACAAAGAGAGGAGAGTTACAGAAGGAGACAGGTCCATGCAGGCGAGCGCCGAGTCCGGATGTCTGGAGAGAGACAGGGAGAGGTTTCTGCTGGGGGGGGAGGTGCTGCGACGGAAACGACCCGTCCGCTGGAAGAGACCCTCCTTCTTCTTTCGCTGCTCCTCTCGGAGGTCCTGCTCATCCTGATGCACCTGAGAACAACACGAGGAGACATGCTGAGCATTTGTCTTAGAAAAGCAAGATTGTGTCCCCCACCCCCCACAGAATGTCAGCATCATATGTGCTTGTTGTGCGAGGGTTCTTTTCATTATCATGCTGTTAACCTTCAGCCAAAGATTAAGAGCATGTTAGGATTTTATTTTTGTCTCCAAACCCTACGTCGTCATTTTCACCACTTTTTATTGTCCTGTCCGAACAGGTTGTAAATGAGGCTCCGTGTGATTTATCTGTTTAAATAAAGGTTGAATGAATGAATGAAAAGTGTCGGCATAATCTGATGCCTTATTTTTTTTCAATGATTACATTCAAAACTAAAGAGGTATTCCTCAAGAAAAAAAAAAGCACAACATCCACCATCTTGCATGTGCAATCTAGTTTTTTTCTTCTTCTTCTTTCGGATGCTCTCTTCCTCGGGTCGTCACAGCTAACTAACTCGCACAAAGTTTATTCCCTCTGTGTGGAGCAGAGAGCTGCCATAGGGCGCTGGGGGGAGCAGATGGTGGTGGTTAAGGGCCTTGCTCAAGGGCCCAGGGTGGGACATATAAAGGTGGAGTCAGGTTTTGTGTGCAATCTACTTTTAAAATATGGAAACTACGATTAAAATAAGATACTGGCTCAAGATGTCCAGCTTGTTTGGTGTCGAGTAATAGTTTCAGATCGTTGTTGTGCTGCTGTTTTCCCACCTGTTGTTTCCCCAGCTGCAGCAGGTCTTGCCCCAGTCCGACAGCCGCCAACAGAGAGGCACAGCCCAGCAGCAACGTGTCGCTCTTCTTCCTCTGGCTGCAGCGGCGAAGCGAGTCCTGGTGGCTCACGCCCATCCACAGGCCTCCGGACGCCAGACTGGAGCTGCTGCCTCCAACAGCAGGCGCCGCGTTCGGCCTCAAGCTGCTCCACAGGAGCCCCGAGTCCTCCGCGGCCCCGTTCACGCTGGCGTCCGAGGGCAGCAAAGACCCCGGCGACTCCTCGAGCTCGGAGCACTCCTCTGGTGGACACAAGCAAAAGATTAGACCGACTCAGTGACGGACAGAATGTTTCGGATCAAAAAAGGCTCACCCATTTCGTTCAGGCTGGAGAAACCGGCGCTCATGGGTGCGTGTTTGGGAGACTTGCCCAGATTCGGTGCACTCGATGAATAAATTTTGCATCCTTCACCGAGTGATTTCAGTCTACAAGTAGAGAAACTCCTTGTGAAATCAAACCATGAGTGTAAAATACAGAGATAAGTTTAAAATAATTAAACCAGACAACAGGTGCTGCCAGAATAAGACTTCCATCATGGGAAAAATAAATTAAATTATGATTATAAAACAGAAATTCACCTCCTGGCTTTAAAGGCTTAATAAAAAAAAAAGTTTGTCACAAGTTTGTAAATACTTTATAAAACAGCTGCATTGGGCGAGATAAAGTACTGTACTTTTCTTTTTCTGTATTTTTATTATTTTAGGTTACTGGTAAGTGTAATTTATTTCTAGTTGTTCAACTTACTCTTTTATTTAAACAACGGTATGTGTCCAAACATATTTTGTGTCTATAAATCTTCATTGTGCTCACATGCAGGTGTCTGACAGACAAATGTTTGATATCAGATAAGACGGAGGTTTTGGGTTTTGGACCTGAGCATCTTAGGAACAATTGTTTCAATATTTCACTTTCTCTGGACGACATTAATCTGGCCTCAAGTGAAAGATCTTGGTGTTATTTTTGATCAGGACATGTCTTTTATCCCGCATATTAAAAATGTTACCAAAACCGCTTTCCTCCACCTGCGTAATATCACTAAAATAAGAAACATCTTATATAAAAATGATGCAGAAAAACTGGTTCGTGCATTTGTCACATCTAGACTGGACTATTGTAATGGTTTATTATCTGGGTGTCCAAATCTTTAAAACATCTTCAATTGATCCAAAATGCTGCTGCCAGAGTCTTAACTGGAGTTAGTGGGAGAGATCGCATCTCTCCAGTTTTAGCTTCTCTCCATTGGCTCCCTAAATTCAAACTCTTACATCTAACCTACAAAGCTCTCAACAACCTAGCTCCATTTTATATTGCAAATCTTATGGTTCCATATTTTCCTAACAAAGCACTTCACTCTCAAACTGCAGACTTGCATGTGGTTCCTAGAGTTTCCAAAAGCAGAATGGGAGGAAGATCTTTCAGTTACCAGGCTCCTCTCTTGTGGAACCAACTTCCAGTTTCTGTCTGTGAAGCTGACACATTGTCCAGTTTAAAGACTGGAATTATGTCTTTCCTTTTGGATAAATCCTATAATTAGGGTCGGCTTGGGTTTCCTGAGCTATCCCTTAGTTATGCTGCTATAGGCTTGGACTGCTGGAGGATAAACTGACCACATTTCCTCACTCTTCTGCTGTCTTTACTTACTCTACTGTACCTGTTTTGTATTTGTAATTGTTTCTATCCTTAAATGTTTTTTTGTCTTTCTTCCTACAGGGGGTACACCTGCACCTACATCTGGACCTGCCATTCTGTGTTTGTTCCTCCTTCCTGTCCTTTCAAACCAGCCGGTCGAAGCAGATGGCTGCTCGTCCTGAGTCTGGTTCTGCTGGAAGTTTCTTTCTGTTAAAAGGGAGTTTTTCTTTCCACTGTCTCCACTGTGCTTGCTCAGGATGGGAGACTGTGACAAAGTGAAGATTCAACGAGTCTGCTGCTTCCTTAGATACAGAACTTTACTAATTGGCTTTTGTATGTATATGAATGTTTCTGTTGAGTGCCCTGAGATGTAAATAAACTGAACTGAATTAATATTTAAAATCTAAATGATGAATAAATAAATAAATGTGCAGCCAACTAGTGAGCGTTCTTCAGTGGATGAACAGAGGTTTATAACTGCTTTATAAAATGTTTGCATATGAACAAATAACCCATTTATAGAACATCAATAAATCGTTTAAAAAGGGACCTTATTTACTGTGAAGTGGCACTAAAGTGTTTGACTTACAGCCGCAGATTAAACAACTAAAACACCCAAATAACATGGACAGAGAAGTGACACTTATGTTGACATTTCAGTGAAATCAGCAGAAGCAGCTGGTAAACGTACTTTTCCTCGCCGCCGACCCGCTCTCTCTGGTGTGTCGAGCTTGGGCCCCAGGTGCGCACATTCTTCTTACCGGCCGCGTGGTCTTCCTTCTTACACACGGCGCTGCGGCCCCACGTCTTGCTGCCGTCGCTCGGCGTCACTACGAGACACGAGAGCCCATTAAAGACACGCGCTGCGTTTCTTTACGAGACCTAACCGTGGTTCGTCCTCACGTCTGATGGCTCGCAGGCGGGGAATGACGCCCGGACTGGCAGGAGGGGTGGTGCTCTCGCTCCCCTGGTTCTTCCTCTTGTCCACACCGGGAGACGCCTGCACTGTGATCTTATGCTCAAAGCCTGCAAGGAGGACAAACCTCGAGTCACAGCTCATCGTTTGAAAGTGTGCTTCCAATAATCAAAAGTTTATTCCCGTTTCTACCAAAGTGCTAAAGATTACGCAGGTTGACATACAAATAGTGTTTATTTACCACCAAGAATATGATTTGTAAAAGTTGGTTAGCCGAAAACATGTCATAGTGGAGCGACTGATCTCTCAGGTTTCTGCTTGTTTCTTAAAGAAACGCTTTTGAATACTGTTCATCTGCTGAACAGTTTCTCTTTACTCCTGCACTTCCCTAATTATCCTAAAGAGAAAAAAGCATGTTGTCGTCATGGTCAGGCTCAAGGACCGGACAGAAAATAAGTTAAAAAAACAGCCGAGTCCCAAAAAAACCCTTTGAGACAAACAGCAACCAGCGCTCCTGGAAGGATTCTTCCACGTCAACGTTTAAAACAAAGACCTTGGCTGATCTGGACGTGTTGGGGATGACACTCAGCTACTACCACACCTTGTTATTGCTGATGTTGTTCGGCATATTGTTTTTGTACTACTAGTGCTAGGTGTATTCTTAGTTTAGCGCATTTCTTAGTTCATATTTTAGATCTTATTACTGTTTTTCTTTTACAATTTACTTTTGTTGGATGTAACTGGGACCCTGTGTACACAGTTTCATTCCACCACATGTACCACATATGATGTGAATGACAATAAAGAACCATGACCTTGACCATCCTATTTCTAGATATTTATCAAAGTGACTGAGTTATGGTCATTTTTGTGTTTGCTAAAATCTGTTAGCTGAGGCAGCCACCTTATATTGGGTCGACTCCAAAATAATAAATCAAAGGTGACTATCTAAACATTATTTTCTGAGAGTTTTATAAGGCTGCATCCACTAGTTCATGAGATATTTTGCTAACAGTCAAACATGTACAGGCAAACATAGGCACTTACATTATTAAAAGAAATTAGTCAGAGTGCCTTTTGTTATTATGAGTCTATTGTATTTATTATTTTTATTGCTGCTGCATAATCTGCACAAAAAAATAATGACAATAAAATAAATATTTTTAATCAAGATTGCAACAATGTCTATGACTGCTAAGAATAAAAAAATTACATTACGAGAAAAAAGTCATAAAATTATGAGAATAAAGTCGAAATATTACAAAAATAAGCCATAATACGTCCTGGGTCGGCTCATCTGCTGTGGACAGCCTCCAATGAGAGTCGCTGTGTTTATGAACTAGTCCATGATCACTTTTGGATCACTGCTTATGAAATATGCCTCCATCCACATTATGTCATGACTAAATCCAATGCAGCCATTAATTGCAATGTCATACGGCTTCAGTTTATCATAAGAATTCATATGCAACAGTGCGCTGGGCCTCCTGCTGTTGCACTGCTGACATCAACATTCATCATTTTACCACAGTTACTGCTCTTTAGTGTCGGAGTTCTGATAATATTACGACTTTATTCTCATAATATTATGACTTTATTGTTGTATTGTTTCTACTTTATCTCGTAATATTACGACTTTATTCTCGTTCGTAATGGGGTTTTTTCCTTCCTAGCGGGGCCCTAATACTCCATCGTAAGTTTCTGACTCACTGGAAGCAAGATATAAAGAAAACAATGGTGGTTTAAATAATTTGAACAGTCCTGTACACTGTGAATTTATGCTGGTTGCCGGAAAGGTAATTTTAATTATTAATTTGGTGTTGGATAATGGATTCTAGATGTTTAGCAAATAGATCATTTTTTCTTTCTGTTGTTCAAAACTAACTTTTTAATAGTTTTCATATTCACAGTAGCAAATTTTTCATCCATCCATCCATTATCTTTACACGCTTCTTCCTTTCTCAGGGGTCACTGGTGCCCATATCCAGCAGTCACAGTGCAAGAGGAGGGGACACCCATGACATGTCTCCAGTCCATCACAGAGACACATGGAGACAAACGAGACAAACAACCATTCACTCTCTCACTCACACCTAGGGACAATTTAGAGTTACCAATCAGTCTAACATACATGTTTTTGGTCTGTGAGAGGAAAACAGCACCCAGAGAAAACCCATGCATGCACGCACGGAGAGAACATGCAAACTCCACCCAGAAAGGCCCCCAGCTGGGATTCGATCCAGCAACCTTGTCACTGAGAGGCGACAGCTCTAACAACTGATCCACCGTGCAGCCCACATGAAAGGTTTTACCAACTAAAATCAAACAACTGGCAGCAATCGTGTGAAGCAACATTAAAAAATAAAACAAAATCCACCAAGATTGGTGAGTGCTTCTTTGCTTCTTTCATTTTCAACCCGGTCAGCCTCCACTCTGAAGTCACACCCCCTGCATGACACACTACCGCAGCACCTTCAGTCGTTGACTGAGACCACCAAGGTGCTCCACAGAACTGGCTCCACCTTATATTACAGATCTTATTGTTCCATATTTTCCTAACAGAGCACTTCGCTCTCAGACTGCAGGTTTACTTTTGGTTCCTAGAATTTACAAAAACAGAATGGGAGGAAGATCTTTCAGTTATCAGGCTCCTCTCTTGTGGAACCAACTTCCAATCTCTGTCCGTGAGGCTGACACATTATCCAGTTTCAAAACTAGGCTTAAGTCTTTCCTTTTTGATAAATCCTATAGTTACGGTCGGCTTGGGTTTCCTGAGCTGTCCCTTAGTTATGCTGCTATAGGCTTAGACTGCTGGAGGACAAACTGACCACACTTTTCACTCTGCTACTGTCTTTACTTACTCTGCTCAACCTGTTTTGTATTTGTAATAATTTTTTTCTATCCTTAACATGTGTTTTTTTGTCTTTCAGATACACCTGGACCTATACCTGGACCTACCATCCTGTGTTTGTCTGTCTCTCCTTCCTGTCCTCTCAACCAGCCGGTCAAAGCAGATGGCCGCTTGTCATGAGCCTGGTTCTGCTGGAGGGTTCTTCCTTTTAAAAGGGAGTTTTTCCTTTCCACTGTTGCCTCTGTGCTTGCTCAGGATGGGAGACTGCGACAAAGCCAAGATTCATCTTGTCTGCTGGATTCCTTAGATAGAGAACTTTACTAATTGGCTTTAATGTTTGTGAATGTTCCTGTAAAGTGCCCTGAGACAACTTTGTTGTGATTTGGTGCTATATAAATAAACTGAATTGAATTGAATTGAAGTCCTTCCTCCCTGTGACTATCAAACTTTTCAACTCCCCCCCCCCCCCCCTTCTACACATAGAACAATAAAATGAATGCTGCACCACAATAAACTCTTTAACTGTTTGCACCTGACCTGCTTTAGACATTAATTGTTGGTATTTTATATTCTCTATTATTTTTAGATCTTGTGTGATTCCTTGTGCACGTTCCTTTGTATTGAAACTCTGGCACAACACTTTCCTGCGGGATCAATAAAGTTTTTATCTGATCTGAACTTTCTTCATCAATCAACTCAATCTGGGTGCAGTTCTCTGTTCCACCCACCAGAGGGCAGACTGATGCTGTTTCCGTCCCTGCCCAGCTTCAGCAGCCGGCTCTTCTTGAAGTGGCCCTTCCTCTTCTTCACACTGGGCTTCTCCTGGTACATCTGATGGATCAGGATGTTCAGCTCCCTCTCCACGATGTCAAACTCCCTCTCCGTCAGCTCCTGCTCCCTCCTCCTCAGCTGCTCCTCCTGCTCCCTCTGCTCCTCTGCTGCCCGGGCCAGCGCCTCCTCCCAGGACCTCAGCTCCTGCAGACAGGAAGAGCAGAAGAAGAAGATGGGTTGTGGCATAGCAGCAGCATCTCTTTTGACATACGCTTTGCTGCTGGGTTATTTTTAACATGCAGCAACACCTCAGACTGATGGTGAGATTCTTCCCACCTCTAGATGACTTCATCTAATAAAAAGTCACAGTTTGTTTCAACATATCAGCGTGCACAACACAGAATTGTTCCGATAGATCCACTGGTAGCTTCCCCAGGTGTCATATTTTTTGTCTAAAGGTTTGTGTAGTATCTTACCACCACACTTCTCACCTTCTCTTTGGCTCTGAGCTCATCAAACATCTGCTGGATCTCCAGCCTCCAGTCTTCCTGTAAGGAGTGAAACGACTCCAGAGGCATCTGAAACATGGACGACTGCTCGATGGCCTGCAGCCGCCTCAGGATGTTGGTGAACGAAGGCCGGCCGCGAGGGTTGGGGTTCCAGCACTCTGAGGAGCAAGAGACAAGGAGAGGATGCTGATGTCACTTCGTTACTCAAAGCTGGAAGCAATTAAGATGATGAGCATCATGACTGATGAATCTACGGCAGCTCTAATCAGACGTTTTATATAAAGACACAAGTTCAGCTTTAACGCTGCTACTGTTATTGAAATGAGTGATGGGGCTTTTTACAAAACATATAGTGAGTTTAGCTTTACTAGTCCATGGATGGAGCCAAGAATCTGCACAAACTAATTCAAACACATCTGTAAAATAAGCAAACACACTCCAGTCTTTACCAAAAAAAACCTCATAATATCTTCTTCTTTTTATTTCAGCTGTTCCCTCTCCAGGAGTCGCCACAGCGAGTCATCCTCCATCTCACTCTGTCCTCATCATTCTCTGTCCTCACTCCAACTACCTCCATGTCCTCTCTAACTGCATCCATGTATCTCCTCTTTGTCTTTTTCCTAGCAGCTGCATTTCTAATATCCTTCTACCAGTATACCCACTGTCCCTCCTCTGGACATGTCCAAACCATCTCAGTCTGGTCTCTCTAACTTTATCTCCCAGTTGTTCAACCTGTGCTGTACCTCTGATGATCTTATTCATCCATGTCACTCCTAAGAAGAACCTCAACATCTTCATTTCTGCCACTTCCAGTTCTTTCTTGTCTTTTTGTCCATGTCTCTGTCTCCAGACCATACAACATAGCTGGTCTCACCACTGTCTTGTAAACTTTTCCTTTGATCTTTGCTGACACCCTTTTGTTGCAAATCACTCCTGAAACTTTTCTCCATCCACTCCATCCTGCCTGGACTCTCTTCTTCACTTCTTTACCACACTCCCCATTTTCCTGGACAGTGGACCCCAAGTCCTTGAAGTCCTGCACCTTTGTGACCTCTGACCTTGTAGCCTCACTGTTCCACCTGCCTTCCTCTCATGTACTCACATGTACTCTTACTACGGCTGACTTTCATTTTAAAAACATATTTAAATAGTTTTGGTCATTGAAGGACTATTTTCTTTCATCACTGCCCATTTGTACATTGCTCATGCCTATTAGACTTTCTTCTATTCATGTATTTTTATTTTGTATTATATTATGTATGCTCTACGTGCCTCTTTTAATTCCACCCCGGGGATAAATAAAGTTTTTGAATTTGAACTGAACTGAATTTTCAGCTGTGGGTTAAAACACACTTGGTCTGTACTAATGCAGACAATTTGTCACAATTATCAACTTTCACTGTTGTGCTTTTTTTTTAAAGAAGCTTTTGGGCAATAATTAAACGACAACACAAATTTAGAAATTGTTTAAATGCACAAACTTAGCGAGGCTGCAGAATATAGGCTATCAAAAGAGAGCTGTCGTAGCAAATGTGTGTGCAATCACGATATTAGAAAGGACCTCTTGACCAGAGAAAGAGAGGAGTGAAGATTTATCACAGCTTATATTGTCATTGCAAACTTCATGTAAAACCAGCATTTCTTAATGTGACTGCGTGTCGCCTGCTGTCTTGTAAGCTAAAGATTTAAACTAACACCGCATGCAATCTGTTAGAGCTCAGAGTACATATTAGGCATGACTCTCTGCTACTACCACAACTAATTTTAGCTAAATATCTATAAAACTGACTGAGCCATAGCCATATTTTATTATTTTCTGTCCTGCAGCAGTCATGGTTCAGCCATCTCAAGTTTAGCTGCTGGTTTGATGCACGAGGACTGAACCATGAATTTTTGGTCTGGTCGCACTTTTCATTTCTGGCAAGTCGTCGCAGCGGCGGGAGAAGAGGAAGAGAGAAAGATGGAGACGGCATATGGCCTGAATTGTGAGCCAAACTCTGACAGACAGTGTTAGAAAAACACGGTGAACACCTGCAACACAAAACAATCGCACAGATCTGACACTGAAGCAGGAGAAAAGCTTAAAAAATACTTTGGGACTTTCAGCTGCTGAAAATACAATTTTGACCACAAATACTTGTATTAATGAACTAAATTAGCATCAAAAGCATGTGTTTAATGTTGGACGGGGATCAACGCAGGCTGACGACATTAGGACACACTGCACAGTGGTGAAGTGGATTACCAGATCCACAGAGATAAGACGAAGAAGAGTGACATTTGAGTGGGAAACTGGTTGTTTCCTGTGTTAACACTGAAACTAAATGAAAATGTACCAATCCAATTGGATATTTAATAAAAATGGCACATTAGGGCATGTTATTTCTAATACACGTGTATAAACAGAAATAAGATCAACTTTGACCTAACAATGCTCTGCTTCTGCTAAAACTGAATAATTACAGGGTGTGGAGATTAAATCTGTTGCGGTGATGCACAAAGTTTATA